CCTGACATAAGTGGATATCGGGAAGTATAAAGTGCGGTCGAAATCTACATTCAAAATATTTTTGTTATGTTTCTTTCTTGGGAGGGGGTTTGTTTCTTTTTTTTTAAAGTAGTTATTTTTGTACCCGAGTCTAGACAGTTACAGGAAACTTTGGTTCATCTGAGGAAGTGTGGCAAATTCTTTTTCCACTCAATTCTGAAGACATTGCTTAATACAGAGGTCAGTTGTTCACAGAGCTGACCAGTTTCGTTTCAAAGATGTGCTTCTATAAAAAAATAAAATAAAAAAGGTAGCTAGTTTTTAATACTTTTGTCGATCCGCGACTAATGTATTTTTTTCAGTGATGCGTGGAAAAGAAAAGGTTGCTTTCTTTTAGAAATCAAATAATCTGTTTTTCATAATGATGCACGGTTGTAAAGCGTATAGAGCATGCTGCAGAAAGTGGATATGCGCTATATAAATGCTATTATAATTACCATTATTATTATCATTACTATTATTATCATTATATTATTATCGTTATTATTGTTATTCATTTACTTTTTTGTCCTCTTATATTGCAATATATTCTTATCATTTTTATCATTATTACTATTACTATTATATTTTATTATTATTATTACAATTTCTATATTATTTAACTAATACTATTATGCAAAGGCTCATAGAAAGAGATTTTAAAACGGTATTTGATTCACCCAAATGAAACGCACGCGCTGAGGAAACCTTCAAAACAGTATGAGATGCAGCCCACAAAGTATTAGACAATATATATATAGAGAGAGAACCATACTTAAAAATGATGGTTTTTTGTGTGTTTTTTTTACTTACCTAGTACCAGGGAAGATATGAGAAGGCTGCGAGCCGCCATCTTGCTGTAAAAGACGATGTTGTTTTCCCTGGTTTATCTCCCTCTTTCTCTCACAATTTTCCACGAGGCTAGAGGCGCTCGCTGTCCCGATAACACACGACTTTCTTCAGGGGAAAGAATCCGGTACCAAATCCACCTCACGCAAAGTCCTTCAACTTCAAGGCGGGCCTTCCTTGCTTCCTTCCTTCCTTCCTTCCTTCCTTCCTTCCTTCCTTCCTTCCTTCCTTCCTT